GAAGAATCTGCAACTCAGATGCACAACATATCTGCTCAACAAGCGATAATTCGTTGGGTATATTAATGTATCTTGTCTTAGATGATGAAAGACTCCCGGGTTACAAGCCACGGCAAGTGGCTGAACAGTGAATAAACCTCATCTTCTGCCAACGTTTCGAGAAAAATCTCAGCTCTCATCCTCATGGCTGCTTGGTAACCAGTCTGATCCTTTATTACGCACTTGCTTGCGGCTTGTGACCCAGGAGTCTTTCGTCACCTTCAGTTGCCGTGAAGGCTTCACTTTATGTATTGTCTTACTTTGTACTTTTTACTTTATTACGTTCAGAATTTACAAGTATACTGACAGTGTGATATCTCCAATAAACCCGACGGCCTTTCTCACTAAACTTATACCCCAGAACACATTCAAATGCAGTTCCTGTTGATAAATTTATATTTATTCCTCACTTGTATCTGGTTCATAAAATAAGAGTGCAGACGATGCTGAAATAATTCCAATTGTTTTAGCAGTCAGAAATGAATGAGTAATTTTAGCAGTACGAAGCTTTAATAAGGATCATTATAATTTTTAAGTTTTAGATGAAGAATCTCCTATGATTATATAAGTGAATGAAATGGGTTTACAGGATAGTTTGACACTGTGGAACATAGCATTGTCTGTAACAGTTACAATCCCTAGTTCCAGTTTTGTCAAAATAATTTCAAATAATTCATAACAACTCTAATGGTTCCCCTTCTTACAGATGCTAAAATCATTATCACATGCAGAAATTCAGTGTGCTGAGTCATTTATATATGGAAAACTGAGTTGACATGCATTTTAAACAAACACTGCTTTACATTGCAGTTATCTCATGTGATAACATACCTTATTGCTAAAAACAACAAATTCCCAGCCTCCAAGTTGAATGTGAGATGCAAGCCCTCCAACTTCTTACTCCTCAAAAGTTCTGTTGATTCTAATACACCAAACTCATTTGTTGAGCTATGGTCATAGGAGTTGTCATTACTGAAAACACAAGAGACATGTTCAGTATTTGATCTACTTCATTAGGTTGTAAAATACATCACACTCTGATACTACAATAAAACAAAAGTTTAATTTAATGACAAGAAAAATCTAAATTCAAGAGATGAAAGGGGAAAATATTTTATTCTCACAGTCCTGTAATATACACACGCTAATATAATTCAGAACACATTCACTTATTCATTATTCTGTAGAGTAGAATCCTCTGTTAGAAGCTAATAGTAGCTTAGGTAGTTAGTAAGTTCCCTGCCTCTTTTAGAACTTGAAAATTCATTATCATGTTCAAAAGACCCTGCTATAGGCCCCTGTTCTAAGCCAGTCCATACCGCACAATCTATTCCTCTAACATCCATTTGGTATTTACCCTCTCAATTCATGCCCAGCTCTTCCAAGCTGTTTCTTTCTCGCTAGGCTTCCAACCAAAATTCTCTCTGAAGTTTTCATCTCACCGTGTGTGCTACATGCCATGCCCATCTCGTCATCCTTGATCCTAACAAAATTGTATTTGGCAAAGGGTACAATTGATGAAGCTCCTCACTGTGCAATTTTCTCCAGCCAGTTGTCACTTCAGCCTTCTCACATAAAAATATTCTCAACACTCTAAATCTGTGTTCTTCCCTTAATGCGAGACATGAAATGTCTCACCCATATGAATAACAGATATAATTATAGTTTTGCGCATTTTCATCTTCAGATTTTTAGATAGCTGTCAGGAAGACAAAGGAATCTGAATTGCATGACATATAGCAGGTCCCAAATTTAATTTGTTCTGTGGAACATTATGCAACATGCTGGTTTTTACTGTGAGGAATTTCTGGTGCCCCCCAACCATCAAGATGAAGGAAAGCTGCTTTGTTGGCTGTCTATAACCACTTATTAAATTAAAATATTTAATCTTTTCTGTGGATTGATGAAAAATGGTACAAATCATAGGAAATTATAAACTGCAGGAATCACAAAAATCATAGCTTACAATTTGATTTTACCCAAACCCTCAATTGAATCATTCAGAAAATAACGTAAATAAATTATTCATCAAAATATAAACATTTTTGCAACACACACTTTCCATGAACTAGAAATACACAGCACTGTGACAAAGTTAAAATCATCTGACGACTTTTCAACTATCATACTCACTGCTGAAACAGATAAACCATGTTGATTCATCAAAGACATACGAGTGCCCACGTCTGTCAACATACTGTAGTATGTTAAGTATTCTTCTAAGGGAATGATTTGTTTTTCCATCATGCCTTATCACACACTCAAATTTTAATGAAACAACTCCAGTGCACACAGCAACCTAGGCTAACGACGATGATATGACAAACTTGAGAACAATCACACATTGAAAACTAAGATGACGCTTGCAACACAGCAACTAACCTGTCTAAGTAGCTAACAACTTGAAAGAAAAGTCGATAAGTCACATAACAATGGTACAAAACCCAGGAAATTGAAATTAAATTACATGTATTTTGCAGGAACTAAAATTAGTAAAATGGCAGACAAACTAACGGTGCTTAAAAAGATATTTAAATTACAAGAGAGCATACATTCTAGTTCCAGAGGAGCATAAATATGTGGTTTTACTGTATTTGCAACTACCTCCCAAATCTGGAGGTCTTCTCCCCAATCTGCAATCTGAGGATGTGCCATGCTATGGTGACAAGGGACACACTTAACATGGAACATATTTACTCATGTTCTCTACTACCACTATTCCATACTTGTCCAGGTTTGAAGATCTTCCAATTGGTGGAAGAATAGGTTTTGTGTTGAGAAGACCCTTCTTGAGAGCTGTTTTAATTTGATGGCTTTGCTGCTCTGATATACAAGATGTATTTAATGGTTCAGGCCGGGTTGCAGGACCCTCTCGCAAAATACCGCCTTCCCCTTCTCCAGGTAAGGCTCCTGGCGTCAGTTGTTGCACATTGACATCAGCCCATGAACACCGAGCACTAACACCACTAAGGTTAGATCCTTCGGTCTCAACTCCTCTCTCCACTTCCTCTTGAGTTGTCGGATCAAGTTCGAGCATGCTCTCACCGCGTCGCATGTCCGTTATCAACCACGGTCCCCCTGCACTGAAATTACACATCACAAGTTACTGCGTTAATCTGTGATTTAAGTTGACACATGTCTTGTTCTGGTCTAAACTATACTTTATTATTGATAGCTATGGAAAAAATATAAATACATGCAGGTATCCATAAAGTTTTGCATTCATACTGGATGCACAGCCAAGGAGTCACCCAAACTGTAGGTCACAGAATATTTCTATTTATAAGGAGACACAAAATTTGTAATTAAATGAATAAAGGTACCGTGGAAAACCTTCCACTACAGGGCCTCAGGCAGTACTCACCTCTCCCACAACACAAGTCCCGGCATTATAAAAGGCGGGACAGGTGTGGAGAATGAGCAGTGCATTGGAGGTTCAGGAACCAGTAACGAATACAAAGATGGAATGATCAGCAAACAAATAATTCTTATCTAACCTATTGGGTTTGATTCTACAAGAACCAGTAAGTTTGAAGAAGCTATATATTTGCAGCTGGGCTGTTTTTTGTCTTTGCCTGCGAATAACCAATTCTCTAAATGTCCTGAAGTGTTCACAATAATCAGCAAAACCTGGGTCTCCATGCGGACTAAAAACACGCTTTGGCGGGAGTCGCTCGTACCGCAAAGGTCTCGCCTTACAGACTCTCACTGGTAGAAATCGGTCGCAACCAATCTGGTCAAAATTCGGTCAGTTAATGCAGGAGTCAGATAATCGAGGGTCAGTTAACTGAGGTTTTACTGTACTACATATTCAGAATTATCACATTTATGGCAGCAACATTAACAAGATAAAACCTGTAATGTCCATAAACAAGACTTCTACAGATTGAAGTTACAAGATTACTTATCCTGCTTATAGAATATATACCTATTGGGAATAGCAGTATCGGATGCCCAAAGAAAAGATGGACGGATCATTGTAGGTGCAACAGGTATTAATGCCTAAAGCAGAAGTAGCTTTCTCAAGTGGTTGGAAAAAATTAAACTGAAAATTACCCTGGTAGTCTTTTAAGAATCTCAAGAACTCCAGGCCCATTCCAGTGTTGTGCTGCCTGCAGTTCCACTGAGCAAACACCCACAATCTGGACAAATTTCACTAATCCAAATGGAGTGTGTGCTGTTCCTAACTGCGGGTCCTCAGTCATCAACATGTGTTGAATACGAGACTCACTATTATCTAGTGCATTGTGCCATGATACATTATCACCTACAAAAAGTGTGTTAGCTGTAACAAGAAACAGAAATTGGTCAAACGCAATGAATTATTTGAACTGTAACACTGCTTCCATAGATGGATCCATCAACATAGCTGATGGGTTGATACATCCACCTTGTAATCTGAAGGCCTGTTAGCATGACTCAGGTTTTCGTGGCTTTCCTCAGCAATTGCTGGGGTAGTACCGTAACATTCATCATCCCAGTATTCCTGGAAAGGAATATGAATTGTATCCTTTACAGGCCTTTTGCACCAAGTAGTAGCATACCGAATTGTACCTATATTAATTAAACAAAGTCATTTAATCAGACTGTGAATGTTTACATGAGAGATTTCAGTCTGGTATGATGAGGTTTAAAATATTCCATAAATGCTTCCTTCCACATCATTTCCAATTCAAAATTCAACACTACATAACTGAAACAGTTTATGAAAAGTCAACAAATGACCAGATGTTGGAGGAAGATGTCATATTACTTGCCCCAACACACTGTAGAAAACAGACAAACCTGAGTCAAGGCAGTAAGTTTGAAGATATAAAAAAAATGACAAAATAGCATAAGTATGTTATTAGAAACATTCACAATGTTCAAAGAAAAAACAGAGCTGTTATTAGAAAGAAACATTTTATTAATATCCACCTTTAAAGAAACACAAAATAAAGTGAATTCACAAAATGTACTTATCACAAATATAGTATATTAGTTAAAAAAAACAAGATCCTTAGTGGTTCAAGCATACCTGACTGGAACACATACTTGGCGAGTGCCTGCATAACTGCAGCTGGCCATGTTGGCGGAGCTGTTTCCCCAGGTTCACGTTTCAGTCGGAATGTCAACTCAAAACCAAAACCACTTGGCGTCTCTGGCCCTGATACGTCATGCACCCTCCCATCACCATGTAAATCTGACAGGCCAAAACTGCAATTCACACATACATTAACAATGGACTACCAAGAGAAACAACGATGCATTAACAAAATATACTGACTAAAGAAGTCTGTCTCTCAGAACCCCTTCAGACGTTACAGCAACGCATCCTGCTCAATGAATAGCAGACAATAAGACATGTTCAAAGAGAGTATTGCAGGTCTAGCTTTGTCAGTTTAGTTAAATCCATTTCATACTAAAGATGACTGCATTCTGGGATGTTCTGCCATGTTGTCTTGTAAAAACTGACCAATGTTTCAGAGGGGTTTACTGCCTAAATCATCATTGCAGTACACGCCTCTGAAACGTCAGCGAATTTCTATGAGACTACAAGGTGCAACATCCCAGGAGACAGACATCTCCATACTTGCAACCATTTAATATTCCTTAAAATAACCCCTATCAAAATGAAAAAAATAAAAAGAACTTCAGTCAAATGAGATAAATTTTAAACGTAAATGTGCATTTAATTTCGTGTCAGCAAAATCACACGTTAACAAATATCAACAATAATTGTGTTTTAAAATAAAATTTAACAAAAATCTCTAATCAGACTGAGCATTAATGGGAAAGACATCAATTAAAAATAACCTCTGTGTTTTTGTGACACTGTAGTGACCTTCTTAACTGAAACATACACAAGGAATACCTAATATAATGCCAATGTGGTGGTATATTCTGTTCAGGATCTCCAGAGTTGGTATACATGCTGATGTAATCCAAGGGATCCGGGCCTCCCAGCCTGGAACACCAATTACGTAAAGAATATATTTCAAACAGCTGCCAAAAATAACTACTTTTAATTCATAGAAAAGAACAAATTATAAAAAGCAAATCTGATTATTTCATAGAAGTAATTTTCACATTGTTCTGAATGTACTGACTATATTCATAAACTTGAAAGAAATTTTCTATTAACTACATAAATCCAAAACTTGCTTCTGCCCTCAGATAATCAAGATACAAGTCCATCCTCCACTGCTAACTGGAGTTAAATATTGGTTACAGTATTTCTTGATAAAGCCATCATTTACCATACATGAATACAGCAATTAGACTGTAGCCTTCTCCAACATTGTACAGGGCAAAACAGAAGCTGTGAAGCAATCCACTTGACATGCAGCTTTAAAGCATCTTCATAAATGTACCAAAGGACATACCATTTACAATCCAAAATCAACTACCAATACATCATGGCGTGACCTATGTCCAAAGTATAGGAAGCAATTACCAATTACTAATTCTTAAAAAAAATAAACTCTCTCATTTATAAATTTTCATCATATTTTCTTCACAATTCAATATCATAAAACAAGTTATAAACTGAGTTGATATTTACCCCTGATTTTTTCATTAGTCTTCTGTGTTATCCAAAATTTTTGATTAACTGAATGTCCTTGGTCCCATTTAGATTGGATAATCAGGACTCTACAGTACAATATTACAATTAGAAGTGCACAGACTGTTCTGTTACCTGTTATATTACAGACAACCACAACCACAGGAAAAAAGCGATGTGCAGGCCTAACAATATCATATACTGGTAATAATCATACTTACTCCATGGAGCAGAGTCCTTTCTGAGAAGACAACAGTCACTCAGCCACTACAAAACTTCCTAAAATTTTATGAAACCCAAAGGTTCATTACCGTTTTGACAAGAGCCCTCAACCGGTCCTTATCCAGAGCTGGATGAATCCAGCCCATACAACCCCATCCTATTTCTCTATGATCCATTTTAATGGTATCCTCCCACCTACATCTAGGTCTTCCTAGTGGATTTTTACTTCTGGTTTGCCCACCAAAACCCTGTATGCATTCCTCTTCTTTCCCATGCCTGCTACAGGCTCCACTCACCTCATCCTCCTTGACTTGATCAGTCAAATTATATTTGGTGAGGAGTACAACTCACGTAGCTCCTCACTGTGCAACTTCCTCCAGCCTCCTAGTATTTTTTCCTTCTTGAGTCCAAATATTCTCCTCAGCACTGTTCTCAAACACCCCCAGTTTACATTCCTCCCTTAATGTCAGAGAACAAGTTTCACACCCATACAAAACTACAGACAAAATTATAGTTCTGTATATTTTACTCTACTAAATCACAAAATTATAAACAAGGAAACACTTTCAACACAGTTTGGGTTCAAGAACCAGCCTTTGGTGTCCTCCAAGCCCAAGAAAGGGAAAACTGTCATGATGCTTAGAAAGCATCAACAAAGTAGTACATAACCAAATGAAACTTGAAGTCATCCACTTCTACAAAAGAGGGGGAGAATCTTCTGATGAACTTGTACTAAGAGCAAAACTTTTGAGAAAAGGAAGGTGTCATTTGTCCCCTCATTCAACTGATACAACAGTAGAAACAAACAGATTTAAATGTCAGAAACCAGCATGTTCTATGTACAAGTATTCGTCTTCATTGCATTAGCCGAGGTAGATCCTCTTCATCCGCAAAGTTAAGACATACTTGATGGACAAGATGTTTAATAGGGTTATGCTGTTATTTATATTAATGACGTCATATTATGCAATAATATGGATAATACATTAAATGAAAACAAGGTAACAAATTTCAGTAACCCACTAATTCTTTTCATTTTGTTCAACCCTATACTGGGACCCTCACGGACACTCGTATGCGTTCACTGAGCGCAAGAAGTCCAAGAATACATATACAGACTAATAGAAATTCTGGTAATCATGTTCACAAGCCCTTAATATAAACACCAATACCATGAACATGTAGATACATAAATGGACCTTCTGACAAATCATGTTCATAAGCCCTCAATATAAACACTTACCAATATTTTACTAAAGCAGTCACCTGAAGTGGATTCACTTGGTCCGGATATATTCTTCGACATAAAGAATATAAAGCTTCTAGTCCTAAGGGAGTTGGTGGAAACGCAGTCATCGGAACACTTCGACAACCCACACCTTCTTCCTCACCCATCTTGGTTTTGTGAATGTTTTCAGTCTGTGCCGTGAGAGAGCTCTGTTGCAAGCACTTCAACGATAACAAACACTAAGGAAATATATATTTATTGACATAATTGCTGATGTGGAAAACTGTGACTTATACCATTAGGTTAAAATATAGTTTATATGCAAGAGTACTACTCATGTAATTCAATAAATACAGTTTTAATTTGTAAGGAACGTTATGTATAGTTTATACGCCATTCTAAACAAGATACGTATGCGAAACGAGAATAAAAAGAATGCTTCAGGGTACTCTAAGGGGCTGCCGTTAAGCCAGCGTAGCCATCACTTTCAACATTTAGTATCAAATTTTACAGATAGTGGCACTAAACTTGTTTTGTAAACAAACGTCAAGACGATGGATACTGTCCAGGGTTTCTTTCTTTAAAAATACACCATTGTCACAATCCTTCATATTTTGGTTCCTAAACTCTGTCTAAGGTACAAAATTGGATACCTGCACCTCGAAGGTATGTCGTTAATACATTGAATGTCGTAGTTCATTATGTCGTCATTAAACATTTTCTAGGTTCCGTTTTAACGTACTTCCAGTTTCATATCAGTGGGAAATTGAAACATTGGGTTTATACTTCACGAAAATGGTAGATGTGATGCACGGAGAATTTAAAAACTAAGCGTCATAATAAATACTTACTTTTAATATGAATTACCTTATTATTTTTGTTTACAACAATACTGAAACAGATAACAAGAGAAATTGAACTGTCATTCTGAAACTTCAGATGTCGCATACCAAAATTATTTTTTTCTGTCCACCACAGACTGAAGAGAACAAGATAAGAACAAAATTATTAATTATATATAATGCTATATTAAAATAACACTGGAATTTCTTACAATATCGTGCAAAATACTTGTTGCAAAGACAAAATACTGTCATGTTCATTATAAAATTATTATACAAGCTGTCTCAATGATAAAAACTTCACTGGCCACCGGCTGTATTCTTTATCTGATGGCATTATTTCCAATCAAACCCGTTTTAGTTACAAATTAATACTTACGATATTTATTCTAGTGGGATTAATTGAATAAGCTTATAGATCTTCATATGCAACCCTTTGCCGCCTGCTTTAATTAATTCTGCTGGAATCTGATCAGTACCTGGAGATTTATAACTTTTCAACTTCTCAATGGCTACTTCATCTTCATCTAAACTAGGTTCTGGCACTAACAGTTCAGCTGTATATATTTTAATCTGTCTAACATCATCAGTCTCACGAACATTTAAGAGTTTGCTAAAGAAATTTTTCCATCTATTCACGGTTTTTATTGGAGCTGCAAGCAAATTGCCATTATCGCCCTATACCAAATTAGTCTGAGGTTGAGATCCTTTCTTAAAGTTATTAGTGCCTCTGTACAGGTCTCTGATATTTTTCCTTATTATTTGTCTCAAGTTCAACAATTTTGCCCTTCAGGTATTCCCTTTTCTTATTCCTAAAGGTTCTCTACTAGCTTCACATCTCGCGTTACATAGATTATCCATATAAGTGAACTGCCGCGCCATGTATTGGCGAGGGCATGAACTAATGTAAAGATTAAATGAAATGCCTTGCCATCTGTTGGGAAGGTATAAACTAATGGACCCGCGAACATTTTCTGACCCGGTGAACTGCCGCGCCATGTGTTGGCGAGGGCATGAACTAATGGAAAGATAAATGAATTGCCTTGCCATCTGTTGGGAAGGTATAAACTAATAGGCCCGCGAACATTTTCTGACCCAGTGACCTGCTTCGCCTTGTGTTAGCAAAGACATGAACTAATGTAAAGATAAGTGAACCAACTAGAGGGCTTACCCAAAGCCCTCCACTGGACCAACAAAATCAAATCCCCTTCAACTCCTATTTCCCATAGAATAAATTTACTACCAAAATAAGACATCAATAACAGAAGATTTGTGGGATTATAAGTCTGTGCAGTCGGAAAGTTTATAATTACACCCATAGCTTCTAATTCTAAATTTTCACCTATATACACTGGGAAATGGGAGTCATTATTAACTGAGCACAACAAATAAGGAGTATATTTTATAATAATACACAAATTTATTTTCTGTAGAATCAAGAAAATTATTAAGAACAAAACAATGATGCAATATGAATAGTTACAAGTAATATGTACAATAAGTTTTCTCATACAGCCATGAAACTGGGACAGACGACTGCCAGGACAGGTCTGTGCCAGAGAGGATTGCCCTCAACCTTGGACATCATTCAATTTCGTCCAGCAGCAGGGATACAGACATGAGAACCAATCAAATCACAGAAAGCATCCAGAAACAGTTACAACTGGTGGTAAGGCCAGTCTAAACTTCGAAAAGGAGCAAGATCTTTTGATAATGGCCACAATTTCTGTTCAACTAAAAAATTTAAACAAGACCACTATGAATGGTTATCATTATCTTAAGAATATGAGGTGAAAAGATTTCACAATACTGGTATCAATTCATATTGCTGCTACACAGAATCTTGCTTGAAAAAATTAATCTACACAAAAGTTGTATTTTGTTTTCCAGTTGTATCACATTTTAGATACCTTCGGACCAAATTGGTAGTGCTTCCAGTAACATATATTTCTATGTATTTTTTTGTTTTATTATTTTTTAGTTTGTGAATAATCTTTGAAGCTCCTTTTTGACACAGAAAAGTAGTTAGGTAAGTTTTTATTTTGTTTTTGTATTTTTGGTATTTTTTTTTTAAATTTTTGCGGCTAAGAGAAGCAGACACTGAAGAGCTGACAATCTACAGCCTCTTTTCTGCCTTCTGGGTGTTCACATGGCTCTTATTATCAGTCACCATTGACTGGGGACTGTATCCAGGGCACATGCAACAGTGGGCACTGCATATTCTTACAAATAATATTCACTACTCCTTGCTATTGTACATGAATAAAATCTACGCTACAATGAAACCTTTCACCGATACATGACATACATTACTAGTTCATGTTACTCTTATCTCACAATGCATGGCAGGACCCACTATTGCACACGACGTCTCATTTACAGCTTAGTTTCCAGCTTGCTGAATGACCTGATCACAAATTGAGACTCATCTTTGTGGAATATTTAAACCTTAAGGCATGTAGTAAGACAGTGTGATGGAGATATTTCAAAGAGAGGTAGCCAGTCGACGCCAAGCTGGTGACTAAAGGCAGGTCCTACTCCATCAACATCCAAACTTAATGTACATTACATTACCTTGCCTGATTCTCACACACATAATCACACATTCACCCACTCACTCGCTGTCACACGTACCATTTCACCACTGCTATACTTAAAGAGGCTCAGTTCTACTGCTGGAACACAGCGTTTCAGCACTTAGCACGCCTGGTGGGCAGGCGTTCATCAGGTGCCTGATATCAGTTCATCTCGCAATTTATTAGTATAATAAAATAAAGAGCTCAAACACCTGGCTGCTATCTGCTGAAACTCAAGTCCACAGGAAAAAATTAAACATTAAAAGTCCCCATTATCAATGGGGACTTACAGAATTTGTACTCTTTGAATGCTTTGCGATGTTCCTTCAATAATAATCTTTCTCCGTGTTGTTTCCCAAGCACTGCGGGAGAACGAAGGGACACACCATGTTTTGGTTGGAGAGATCTGGGCCCGCAGACGCGCCGCATCACGTTCACTTTGCACTCGCAGCCGGCAATGTCTCTCAACTCACCGGTTCACATTCTTCTACAATGGTTGACAGAATTTTCAGAACTCTTATTACAAGTGCCACCTTTGTCTAACAATATTTTTTAGAAAATTATTATTTTTTTCCTTTTTTACATATCACCCTACCAAAACTCGTTATAGCATACTTTGTTCTTTCATATCTTTTTGTTCCATAATAGTTATGGAGAATTGATTTTTGATGTGCTATCTCCAAGCACTATTTGCAGAAGAAACTGAAATCAGCTCTTGAAGAGTTGAAAACTAACGTAACCCAAGGTCACAGCATAGTCTTTTTTTATCATTTTTATACACTTTTTAAAAGTATTCGACAGACGAGAATACTGTCCGCCCAGAGATCTGCCTGCTGGAATATTTTATATGGTTGCTTTAAAAAATTAAAAATCCATCATCATTTCATGACTCTCTAACAACACATAAAACATATTTTAAAACCACTTTCCACTGTAATCTCATATAAAAAAACACAGCAAAATAATTATTTCTGGCCAATGGTTTAGAGTCATGACCTGCAAGTACTTTGTTTAATAATCTTTTCTTTTTAAAACAAAAATATGTACAATTTACATAAATAATTTACACATGCAGTGAACTGCAATGTGCTACGACTCCCCAAGCTCTTATTTATAATACAGAGGATTCCTTGCTGATGACTAGAGGTGGGCTCCACAATGTTACTGGCTCTGGTAGTTATGATGGTGGCACTGCTTGGGCCGGGCAGATCTCCGACAGGCAGCGTCTTGTCCCCCGACTGCTCCCGACATCAATCGTGCCTTTCAACCTATTAACCAAAGACGGCAGACCTTCATACATCTACACGTGGCATTGATCACTTAAGTTATTAATCAATTATTTACTTCTCTCACATGTAAGATTTGAGGTTTTCACAGCAGTAAGTATGAAGATTTCTGTCTTCTGGGTTGTTGCGCTGTGAATATTCTGAATATTCATCGCCCTGATGACGGAGGCAGTATGACCTCTGAAACGTTGGTTAATATCGACCAGACTACACAGCGGAACAACCCAGAAGACAAAAATCTTCTCTCGATCAGTTAACCTCGTGATTCCCAAATGGGGTGTCGCTGACACATTCCAAGGGTACCACAGAAATTTAAACATCCTAAATCTTACATTTTTACTGCTGTTAAAATGTGTTTTAATGTACTGAACTGCCTCCATATAATTAATTTTGTTGCTATTACATATCTTTAACTAAGTTCATGGGTGTAATAACAGAGTGTAGTATTTTTCTGAAATGACAGCCTACCAACATATCTTCAGCATAGAAAAAAATAGTTTCCTCCTTCCATAATGTGATAATACAATATGGAATTACACCCAGTCATAGTTTACTACTGTTGTCAGTTTCCCATACAAAGCGTATAAAACACTGCAGAATATTGTTCATTACACTTAAACGATCAGTACCGCGTAAAACAGTGGTAAGAGCGAGTGACAACACAAGAATCAGAAGACGGTTTCTGCACCGTAGCTGATACTTTTGCGTCCTGTTCTACTGCAGCTACTAGTCCATGAAAGTACACCACATCCCAATATATCACTCATCTCCAGTTGTATTTACCACTTCAGATGCCAAGAACTGAATTCAAAGTTTGAGAGCGAGAAGGGCTGACAAAAGATATTCCAATAACACTTCACCTAGATAATCTCCATCTCAGAAAGCGTGAGGCGGCTGGTGCTCATGGCCACTCCGCTGTCACTTGAGGTTGACTGCACGCTGCTGTGGTCATCTGTGTCAGACTGGTTGCTGGTGTACCCAATGACGTCAACTTCATCTGAGAAGCAAAAATCACAAATATATAAGATTCTGACTGTGACTTTCTAATAATTACTACAATGTTCTTAACAGAATTTTTCCTCTAGCCTCAGTGTCCGGACCGGCTCTGGGGGCCACCCAGCCTCCTATCCATCGGGTACCGGGGTCCTTCCCCGGGGGTTAAGCGCCACTGGGGCGTGATGCTGACCACTCACCCCCATCCAGTACCGAGGAGTTATACCTCCTCTCCCCCCCCCCCCCACACCCCAGTCCGGCTCGGCTCGGGTTCCATTGAGCCAAACTCGTTTGTGGGCGGGGTGTCACGAGCCGAGTCTGCTATGCATGTGTGGCGAAATATATCCGAGTCCGGCTCACGAGTCAAGCTCGCCGAGCCAGACTCGCAAGTCAAACTCGTACGTGGATGGGCCGCTGTAGGCTTTATAATGGGAGAGATGGATAATGTAAGAATACTGTTAATTACTGTTGTACTTATGGTGCACTGTTTTGTCACTTAACATGATTCTGGACTTATAAAATTAAACTTTGTGTAGCTCCTGACTAACACAGTTTCATTTTAGTGAGATTTTAAAAGGACGGCTCACTATTCATTATTTTTGCATGGGGGTGGTACATTCTAGTAAGTTCTGAAAAGGACGAGGAAAGTCTACTGAGAAGCAGCTGTTTCTGACGCCTTGACTACTGACCTGGCACGTAAGAAATATGTCAAACATGCAGGTGTACAACATAGATAAGAATGCCCATCAGAACAATGAAAATCATATATCTCGAAGGAAAAGTAAATGACCTTGAAATTCGAGGCAACCGATCAAGTGAAGGGTGGCAATGCTTATGAAGAAAACTTGAAGCCTATTGTAATCTACCGTACTATACTGAGAATTCTGGGGCACTACAGGGATTTCTCGAATCTTCCCTTTCTGTTTACTGGTGGTCTATTAAAATGAGTTGAATGTCAGGTCCTGTATTCACTAAATAGATCAATGAAACAGGAATCATACTGCAGCTGTCGATTTTGGCACCAGACTTATGCTAAGTGGTGTTAACACTTAGGGATCTTGAATTAGTGGAATAAACAAAGTGGTCTCAGGTTTCTGAAAACAGCAGTCAATAATTACGAATAATGCTAGGGTACAAAGAGAAAAGCAGTTATTTCAACAAGCATGAGATTTGTCAGTAAATAATCTAGAGGTCACAATGTTGGCTAGAAATGTCATGGAGCCTAGTGTTTTCAAAAGTATTTTTAGTCCAGTACCGTAGGAGTTCCATGTTTGCTTCTTTGAAAGTACAAGCTCAGTAAGTAATATTCGTTCCACAGAACTGCTTATCTCGGACAGTGAACTACCTTAACACGAAAATGCTTGTTTGTCTATCGGTCATCTGCGATTATACGATTTGCACAGTTGGTGAATGTTTCGTCAGCCGTTGAGTGGCAAGAAGTTTGTGTGCTGATTATAATGTGCAGACAGTGTCACGCAGTAAACGTACAAAGAATGGCATCGACGAACAACACTACGCAGTATTGAGGTTTATATGCATGTTTACTAACATAACATCGTTTAAAACATTTTTCTTTGTCCAGGTCTTAATATTTATTACCAGATACAGCAACTTTGGAATGTACAACAACAGCAAGAGACACTAAAACTCGAAGCAAATGAGTCAGACGAATTTATTCGCTGTTCCATTAGAAGAAGAATGTTCAACACGTGATTTATTCGACAACGCTATTGGCAGATGAGACAACATGGCGCTGAATGATAAAATGCTTAATGAATAATCATAATCAATTGTAGTCTAGCATCCCGGTATTTGTCAGGAGAGACTGAAGAAACCATGAAACCTCAGGATAGCCGGTCTCTACACTGAGCACTCGGCCACGACTTTACGTATCCATTCGTAATTTCATATCAGAATGTTGCTTTGTATATATGACTTAATGTCTTGTAATTTCTTGCAGATATTTAAAAAAAACGACTCATTCCATTCATTGGTGGCACCCTACTTTTTGTCATTATAGTACAAAGTCCTGAGAGCAAAAAACTGCCTGGCTGCTAAGTTTTTTGGGCCGATTCCAAAATCAAAGAAAAATATGTCATGCCCTGATGTAAGAAAGATTCTTTCGTTGTTACAACGTGCACACAGACTTCGGTTTCCCTCCCCTCAGCCTATTTAAAATAGTTAGGGCCAGGGAAAATACGTCTTAATGGAATTATTATTACACACAGGTAAAAATTCACAACATCGGTTGCGTTTGTGGGGGGGGGGGGGGGGGGGG